AGCACATCCATGATCTAATGAAAGCAGAAACGTTTCCATGACCAGAGATGGGCCTGGTTACTAAGATTCCCATTACTGCCTGATAAACTATTAAAAATGGTTTTAACTTCATTGAATTTCCTCACATAATAGCAACAACTATGGGTGAGTGATTAAAATGAAGTTTAGTCTGAGTGTGTCTTTGGCAATTACATTTTTACTTAAAATTCTATACAGATAGGGTGGTGCCTATGGCTCAAAGGAGTAGGGCGCCGGCCTCATGCCGGAGGTGGTGGGTTCAAACCTAGCCCCAGCCAAAAATTGCAAAAAAAAAAAAAAAAATTCTGTACAGGTGAAATCCAGTTTGTGTTCTGTAATGACATTTACATGAGGCTGTCATTTGACTTAGTGTGTGGTTATTGACTGCACCTATCATGGCCTGGCCTTTGTCTTGAAAGTAGAAGTCACTTAGCTTTTGATTTTTTTTAGTTTTTTTTCATCATTATCTACAGGTTTGATGAAAAGTCCAAATTACTGTTTCTAAGTGGTTATTTGTATTTCTTGACAGAACCTGCCATGGTCCATAAGCAGAACTGTCGTTTCTGCTAACTTTATTCATAACTATTCTGTGGCCTCCTGGAGGGCTACGGTAGGAACGAGGTCTCTGTGGTCAGGAGTTTGCTTGTCCACTGTCAGCTTGCAGGTCTGTGCTGGAGCAGCCAGTGCAGCTGCATGTGGGTGAGGGCCCCCAACAGGCAGGTGGGACAGGTGGGCGGGGATGTCAGACACAGTCACACGGGTGTCTGGAGGGAGTGTCTGCACTCATCAGGCAATGGGGTGGACCATTTACCATATAAACACAAATTCTTGCACAGCCCGGTGAGGCAGGTAGTGGTTCCCAGGCTGGGGCTCAGATCCCACCCAGCGTGTGGGATCAGCAGCTCAGCACCTCAGGGCTGGGCCCCACAGTCTATTATAGGAAGGCCTGAAGTGAGCTGGACTGCCTCAGAGTCCTGATGGCCAGCTGTCACCATGGGCCTGTCTCATGGAACTGTGTGGTAGGTGGGTGTGATCCGAGTTTCAGCGGCGTTGGCAGTGACGCCTGTCTCCTGGGCCATCTGTGTCCTGCATCCCTGAGGAGTCTGAGGGAGGGACACTGGGGAGGAAGGAGGATGGGCCAGTAGGAGGGGGCCTGGCTCTGTACTTCCAGGGAGCCAGAGAGCCTCAGGGACGAGGAGGGAGCTTTTGCATGGGGTCAGTGTCCTCATAGACAGTGTCCTGGAGATACGGCAGCACGTACTGTGTGACCTCCAGTGGAAGTTCCCATCGGGGACAAACGGTTTTCATCTGGCTCTTGCCTTCCGGATTCCTAGTTATCTCTGAGAAATGTAAATACCAACCGGGCTTCATGCCAGAGTCTCCTGTGTGGAGAGGGGGCTAAAGGCTGTTCCCAGGGCCACGACCTGGGAGCTTTCGAGAAAGAGCTGAGAGGAGGAAAGGCCTGAAAGTGGTAGCTGGTGCTTCCCAATGACTCCTGGGGCTTGTGATTTATGATCTGAAAGTGGCTGTGATTATGATCTACTTGAAATAGGCATCTAGCTAGAAAAAGCTAATGATCTTTTCTATTTTTGTAACAGTATTTTCAGGTTATTAACATACACAAAAAAAGCCCTTAACCTTTCAGAAACACAGATATACATGGAATAGTCATATCAGTTGTGAGACAGAAGGACAGGGATTGGTCTGGGGACAGGCGGTGGCGGGAGCCACCAACCAGCACAGCATGAGGAGCCGGGTCTGGAGCCCAGCAGCACAGTCCTGGTAATGTGATCTTGGGCAGGGTCTCTGATGCTTGAACTCTCAAAGGGTGTGATGATGCCTTGCCCTGTGGAGGAGAGGTGGGGCCTGAGTGAGGGGTTGTGGTGACCCTAGCCCATCCCTGGGGCCAAACTCCATCCTGTACCCGTCCCCTCGGCAATGTGTCCTTGTGCTCGCTGGCATTTGGTGGGGTCTTAGCGTTCTTTAGCCATCCTGCTAGGTGTGTCCTGATAGCTCACTGTGGGCTTACTTGGCATTTCTCTAATTGCTAATGATAACCAACATCTTTTCATATGCTTATTTATCTTCATGTCTGCTTGGGTGAAAGGCCTATTCACCATTTTCTAATTGGACTATTACTTTACTATTAAGTTTTGAGAATTCCTTATGTACTCCAAATACTCCTTTGTGAGATGTAGTTTGTAAAATACTTCGTCCTATCCTGGGAATTGTCTTTGCATTGTCCTAACAGGGTCCTTTTTTAAATTTATTTTTTGTAAAGTTGGGGTCTTGCTATGTTGCCCAGGCTAGTCTTGAATTCTTGGCCTCAAGCCAGTCCTCCTGCCTTGGCCTCTCACAGGGCTGGGATTATAAGCATGAGGCACAGCACCTGCCCCTTGCTGGGATTTTGGTGGGAAGCATGGTAAGCTTATTCTGTACATCAGTTTGGGGGAGAGTCAACATCTTTACTCTGTTGAGTCTCCCAATATATAAAGATAATGAGTCTGTCCATTTAGTTAGACCTTCTTTGATCTTCCCATCAGCATTTTGGAGTTTTTAGCATATAGAGATAGGGTGTCTGTCTGGAGAGCTGGAGGATAGTGGTGCCATGATGGCTCACTGTAACCTTGAACTCCTGGTGCAAGCAATTATTCTGGCTCTGGATCAACCTCCCAAGTAGCTGGGACTATAGGCATGTACCACCACATCTAGTTAATTTTTTTTTCTTTTTTTTTTTAGGCCAGGGCTGAGTTTGAACCTGCCACCTTCTGCATACGGGGCCAGCACCCTACCCTTCTGAGCCACAGGCGCCACCCTAATTTTTTTCTTTTTCTTTTTTTTTTTTTTTTTGAGACAGTGTCAAGCTGTCGCTCTGGGTAGAGTGCCATGACATCATAGCTCAAAGCAACCTCCAACTCGGCTCAAGCAATCCTCTTGCCTCAGTTTTTCCATTTTTAATAGAGTTGAGGTCTCATTTTTGCTCAGGCTGGTCTTGAACTCATGAGCTCAAGCAAGCCACCCTCCTCGGCCTCCCAGAGCGCTAGGGTTACAGGTGTGAACCACTATGGCCAGCACAGCTGAGTTTTCAGTGTTTATCTTGTGTCCTGTGACCTGCTGAACTATTTACCTATTTCCAGGAGTTTTTTGGTAGTCTCTCTGGGATTTTCCCAGTAGGTAACCATGTCATCTGCAACCAATAACAGTTTTATCTTTTTTCCCTTCACCTGTATACCTGTGTTTCCTTTTCATTCCTTAGTGTGCCCAGAACTTCCAGCTCTGTGTTGTGTAAGCATTGTGAGAGGAGACCTGCTTGCCTTGACTGGGAAGAAACCTTCAGTCTTCCAGCATGAAGTGTGGTGTCAGCTACAGACTTTTTAATAGATGCTCTTCATCTTCCTCTACTTCTGTTTTCTGAGCGTTTTTGTCATGCAAGGGTGTTGGATTATGTCAGATGCTTTTTCTGCATCAGTTGACATGATCGTGTGCTTTTTCTGGGCTAGCTTGCTGACTGGTGGATCGCATGGTTTGGTTTCTGAATGTTGACTCAGCCTGTGTCTCTGCATGAAGCCCCATTTGGTTGTAGTTTATAAATCTGTTTATATATTGCTGAATTCTGTTCGAACGTATTTTGTTAAGTTTTGCATCTATATTCACGAGGGCTGTTGGTCTGTAGTTCTTACTTAGTTTGGCTTTGGTATCAGGGTAACAACTTTACAAAATGAATTGGTAACTATTCCATCCTCTTCTGTTTTCTGGGAGAGGATGTGTAGAATTAGTGTTAATTTTTCTTTAATCATTTGGTAGATTCTCCTGTGAAACCATCCATAGCCTAGAGATTTCTTTCTGGGGAGTTTTTAAATTGCAAATTTAATTCCCTTCCTTATTGCAGGGCTGTTAAATTATCTGTTTTGTGTGGGGCGCATTGTAGCTGTTGTGATCCCTTTGTCTTAAATTGTCAAATTGACGTATAACTTTATTGTTAATTTGTTTTTTGAGGCAGAGTCTCACTCTGTCGCCCTGGGTTGCGTGCTGTCCCGTCATAGCTCACAGCAAGCTTGAACTCCTGAGCTCAAGAGATCCTCCTGCCTCAGCTTCCTGAATAGCTGGGACTACTAGGTGCCTGCCACAACACCTGTTTTTCTACTTTTAGTAGCGACGGGGTCTCTTGCTCAGGCTGGTCTTGAACTCCTGAGCTCAAGTGATCCACCAGACTCAGGCTCCCAGAGTGTTGGGATTATAGGTGTGAGAAACTGTGCCTGGCCTACATATAACTTTAATGTTTTAAATAAAGAATCCATTCTTTTTCATAGATTTTGTGATTTGTGTGGAGTTTGTCAGTGTTTACATTTTAAATGTGCTGTGATTTTTCATTCTAAATAAATATTTTCCTTTAAACTTAGCATTTTATGATCATAATTTTATACTGATCTTTTTCTCAGAAGATCCCTGACCCCATAAAAGAAGCAGGGTTCAGGTGCACAGAAGCGGGGCCCATCCAGCTGCCACAGGACTGACTTCTGATGTGTTTTCCTGTAGATGGAACTTCCGAGCAGAGCAGGTGGGGATCTCCCTGGGCTAGGGCTGGTCCAGTGCTTACCGCCTTTCAAAGCAGAATCCCATGTGGAAAAAAAGAAATGGAAATCTATCAGCTGCATTTGTTTCTGTCTGATGTGACCATCCCTCTTGGGATGGACCATCCCAGCGTCTATTTCTGAATTTCCACAATACTCATACTTGGGGGGGGGGGAGGTGGGGAGAAAGAAAAACAGAAGAGACAGGCTTTTTGAGATCAGGTTGTGGGTTTGGGTTGTGGAGTCAGCAGGGGCCTCCCCAGGAGGGCTCCCCACCCCCCAAACCTGGCACCAGCCCCTCCTGGCGTTCCCACACCCTGCAGCTCTGGAGCAGTGATGGATTTCAAACAGGAAGCAGCTGCAGATAACACGGCTGGCCTGATTTGCTGGGCTGCCTGTAGGCCCGGACCCGGCTCCCCTCTGTGCTGAACTGTGGCCGCCTCTGTAAATAGCAGGCATGAGGCTCCCAGGCGCAGTGTCCTCGTGGGCCAGCAGCGGTTAGGACAGCCCCTGCGCCTAGTGTGTGCTCAGGTAGGAGATGCCACCCCGGAGGACGGGACCTGGTTTGACTGCTCAAGCCCTGGCCAGAAGGGCACGATTTCTAACAGAGCTCTAACGGGGGGACTGGGCTGAGGGGACAGATGTGAATTTGCTCTTAGTACAGGCAAAATAGGGAGTCTTAATAAATCAGTCAGCGGATTCCAAAGTTTGATTAGTTCTGAAGCTCATGGTGGAGACTCCGTGGAGCCTGTTGAGACAGATTTAGACCAACCAGAGTTACCAGATGGGTGCAGCACGCCCACTCAGGTATACTGGGTTTCCTGGGCCAGGAGAAAAGCAATCTAGTTCCAAGCCACAGTATGACAGCCAGTCTCAGACCCTGAGCAATCTGAGGGGTGACCAGCTGAGGGGCCTGGGGACAACTGTGGTCACTGTGCAGTGATGGGGGTGACCAGCTGAGGGGCCGGGGGATGACTATGGTCACTGTGCAGTGATGGGGGTGACCAGCTGAGGGGTCAGGGGATGACTGTGGTTACTGCATAGTGATGGGGGCAACCAGCTGAGGGGCTGGGGGATAACTGGTCACTGTGCAGTGATGGGGAACCAGCTGAGGGGCTGGGGGACAACTGTGGTTACTGCACAGTGATGGGGGCGACCAGCTGAGGGGCTGGGGGACAACTGTGGTCACTGTGCAGTGGTGTGGCGACCAGCTGAGGGGCCTGGGGATGACTGTGGTCACTGTGCAGTGATGGGGGTGACCAGCTGAGGGGCTGGGGGACAACTGTGGTTACTGCACAGTGATGGGGGCGACCAGCTGAGGGGCCGGGGGACAACTGTGGTCACTGTGCAGTGATGGGGGTGACCAGTTGAGGGGCTGGGGGATGACTGTGGTCACTGTGCAGTGGTGTGGCGACCAGCTGAGGGGCCTGGGGATGACTGTGGTCACTGTGCAGTGATGTGGCGACCAGCTGAGGGCTGGGGGATGGCAGCAGTCACTGGGCAGTGATGGGAAGCTCTGTCTCAGGCTCGGTGCTGGGGATCCAGATGGGAAGGGAGGGAATTTATGGGTTGAGGGAGAACTCCTAACACAGTGGGGTCACCTTGGCTCCAGAAATTGGAAGAGAGGATGGTCCCTGTGATACCTCGCCTCAGGGACTGGCCATCTTAGAGCTGGAGTGGTTCGGTGGAGCACACCTGATGAGGTGGAAGAGCCATCACAGTGCACACCTGGATCGCTAATTTGATGGGAAACACTTGCCCTGGGGCAGAGTGAGCAGTGCCACGGACCTCAGAGCTGCTTCATTTCCAAAAGGGTCTTGCTGGGAAGCTGGAGTATTCTGGTCCTTGTGGGCGGAGGCACGTGGTCCCTCTGGGAGGCAAAGTAGCGGGGTGGAGGGACACTTTGCCCTCTCAATGCTGGGATGTGGCTCTTAGGTATGTATAGGGTCTGTGAGGTGCTGGGCCCACAGGTCACACTTACAGACAACGTCCACTCCTTTATTCAGCAATTTAAGTTGGGCTTTTCCCCAGCGTCTATTTCATTCTATAATATATTTCTTCTAAGGGGTCCACATTTAATCCCTTTGCCCTGCTGGTGAAGTAGCCTCCTCTCCTGCAGATAAGGATGTCACAGGAGGGCAGGATGGGGGCAGCTGTGGCCTTAGGAGGCCCCGGGGGCAGCTGTGGCTTTCTGTTTATAAAACCAAATTCCTCTCCCAAGAAGGCAGTTGGAGACAGCTCTGGGGAACAGCTCCCTCAAGGGGTGTGGGCACCTCCTTCCTGCACCCCTGGGGACGGCTCCCTCAGGGGGTGTGGGCACCTCCTTCCTGCACCCCTGGGGACGGCTCCCTCAGG